CTACAATACATTCAACACTATCAACATAAATAACCCAATCTACTACAACATAATATCAACTTAAACAACACAACATCAACAACTACTATTTCAACACATCAATATATTTCATCACATGTCAACACTGCATATGTACAACACAACTAAATCAACACATGATATGCATAATACAACAATTATATGCATCGTCGCACATTTCAATTAGGAGATCTTCTACAACACAAATGAGTTGTATAAAGTGGCTTGACCCTACCAAATCAACAACACGTGATGATCTTTTTGAGTTTGCTAGATCAACAATAAATTTGGGTATCAATCCACAACATAACACGATTTCTCAGATATTGTCACTTAAACTAGAAAGTCTAGTATTCTTGTTAGGATAGAATAACATGAGTATGGCCTACCACGACATTAGGTAGCTTAACTAAGTCTTTTATGAGATTAACCTACTGACTGTCCTCTAATATTATGCCCCTTTGATACTTAGTTAGAAACTAAGTTTTTGACTTTGTACTTTACTCAAATTAGTCACTTTGTAATTAGTATAGTTTAACTTGATCCCATACTATGGTCACTTTATACACATATGCCTTGACCTTACCCATATACAATATCAATTGAAGTCCTAGAAGAAACTCAACTATCCTCTTTAAAGGGCTAGTTTCCTAAGAAGGGTTTTAAATAAATTGGACTCTTCGAGTACCACAACACTATATCCAACAACATGATATGCAACTTTTAAAAATAACTTCTCCTCTAGTCCTATGTTAATCAACACAACTTTCAACACCATGCATTAATGCCTAAAGCATTCTCAACATTCATCATCTCAACAACACAACATCATCATGCTTAAAGCATATCCAACACACAACATACAACTCAACCCATTTTCAACTCTCAAACATCAATCATCTTTAAATATCATCATATTTTAACATGTATAAAATAATCAACATTTAGCAACTTAAAACTTGCAATAAACTACTCAAATTTACTCATTTTCATTAGCTCTTACTATAAAAAACAAGAATTTAATAAGCATCCAACGCCTGGCACCACACTTTTGGTGTCCTACATCATCGAGGTAGGGGACCCTCTATCTCGCCATGCCTAGAGTTACACAAATCGTGCCCAACGTGGATTAGGTTGAGGCACCCTTGGGACCTCACACTCAATGTGACAAAGTTCCACGCCTGACCTCAAACTAACCTAAGACAATTCTCTATTCTTACGTCTAACACCACCAATCCTATGTTTGATATAAGAGATAAAAACTCTCATATTAAAGTCATGCCCGACGCGATGAGCGATTTGCACACATGTAGCTCGCAAATCTACCTATCCTTCACTTGAAATGCAACAATCTCCAACAAGCAACACAATATACCATATAGAAAAAATTTAGCAACTCAAATCCAACTCAAAAATCAACATGCAACCACAAAATTCATCCCAAATAATCAAATTCTCCTTCATGAACCCCAAACCCCAAGTTCAACCACAACCATCAAGAATTATGCAATTTTGCCATATTATTGCAACGATTTAGCATCACAATCATAGAATAAATCCACCAACAACTCAACAATTCAACAAAAATCAAATATCTAGCTTCCTTTACCTTATAATCGAAGCACATTGGGGAAGAGAAGAAGAATTCTTAGTGAACCACAGAATGACTTCGAACCACCTTTACACTCTTGATTCATAACTTGCTAACTTGAATCCACAACAATAAAACAAGAATGAGGTTTCAAGAAAGAATTTCTCTTATAAGATGAGAGTTGGTGATGAAGAGAACTTACACTTCTAGAGCTTATCTCTCTGGTTCATCTTTCTAGATTTCTCAAGACTTGAATTTATGAAGCTCCATCTTAAACAGAAACCTTAAATATATACCCCTTTAAGGTCAAACTAGATCTACGTCCAGAGAAACCTTTAACTACCTAAACTCATAAAAAATCCTTAGATTTTTCAAAATTTTCTCAACACCAATCAACAATCTACACAACATCAGATAATTAATGAAAACAACAACAATACTCTATGACTCACAATGTTACAATGAGTGACCCCTAAGCTGTTAAGATATTGGGTAAAAGGCCAAAACTCACACCACCCCAATCAGACTGCAAAGATTTAATTTGGTTGTTAAGTTGAAGTTCAACCATAAATTGTTTAAATGTATTAAGTGTCTTAGATTTGGTTTTAAGAAAATAAATCCATGTATAACTATTTAATGCATCAACAAAAGACATGTAATATGTGTATCCCATAGGACTGTATATGGGTTGGTCCCCATATAGGAAATTAACTCTAAAGGAGAAAAGTAAATAGTAGTAGACATATGAGAAGGAATTCTATGAGATTTCTCCATATGGCATGCAAGACAAAAAACAATAACACTTTTATTAGAAACATAAATGTTACACAATTTGAGTGCATTCTGTAAAACAAAAATATTGGGATTGCCAAGTCTATTGTGCCACAATGAAAGAGAGGTGGATGTGAGTGTGTTTATAATGCCAGAAGATTTACAATTAGAAAAAAAAATGACAAAGTTAGGTAAACACTTGGCAACACTGGATTGAAAAAAATTGGGAAAGGTATAATGACCATTCGAACTGAGATAACCATTCAGCAAGACTTGATTATTAACTTGAGATTTGACAACACAATGATATGGATGAAATTCAAAATAAACTTGATTGTCTTGAGCAAATATACAACACTTATAAGATTTTTAGTAATGGTAGGAACAAGTAACATATTATTAAGATGTAAAATAGTATGAGAGTTAAAAGTGGAAGGAAAAGAAGTAGAACCAACTAGTTTAATTGGCGAACCTTGATCATTGCTTAAGAAAACATGCTCTTGAGTGTTAGGAGACACTTTAGTAGTGAGATTACCGAGATTTCTTGTAAAATGATGTGAGGCACCCGAATCAACAAACCAATTTTGTGATTGTTGTTAAGGATGGTATTAGTAACAAAGGCTTGGGGTTGAGGATATGTGAGACAAGCTTGGGTAGAGGGTCCAAGTGTAGGAACATGTTGATTAAGTTGAGGTTGTAAGACAAGTTGAACTAGAAGTTGGGGTGGTGAAAGGCAAATATGTTGGTAAGGATTACCATTATAATAGGCAGGATACTAAGGTGTTGCATACTATGGTGAAGCAATGTAATGTTGTTGGTGAGTAGGATAATTTTGTTGTAAAGGAGCATAGTTTGGATTGAACCTATGCATCATGACCAAACTTATAGCATACTTGAAATTGAATGTTGTTATGACCTTCATGACCTCAACGATCTCCTCTGTGACTTGAATGACCACCACGACCATTATTAAAACTAGAAAATGAAAAATTACTAGTTATAGGTTGAGAGGTTGTGGTAGTAAAATTAGCTTGAGGTTCATGATTAGTAGTTGTAGGTTGTTGTTCTAAAACCATAAGTGATGATGCTTGAGTCAAATTCAAGATAGAAACAAAATCAATAATATCTTTCTACTTTTTAATGTCACTTTCTTTAGCGAATAAAATCGGTTCAATACCATCAAAATCAAACCAATCTAGTTTTCTGTTGACAAGAACAACAACAACTTCATATTTAACAGGTAAAACTTCAAGAAGGGCATCAATTTGTTCTTGAATAGAAATAGTTTCACCTATCGAAATGAGAGAATCAAAATTTGATTTGATTCTTGTGAGAACCTATGAAATAGATTGATCTCCTTTTTTAGTGTTATGAAACTTGGATTGAAGATGTCAAGCCTATGCCTTAGTCTTGGAGTGAAAATGGTGATGAATCTTCTTCCATAATTATTGATAGTAACAACATCCAATAACTTTAAGTAAAACAAAAGAAAATAACCACAATTTGAACCATATAAGATGGTTCAAGCTATGATACCATGTAGAAATATAAAAAATTGAGTGAGAAAATTCTTGAAAACTTTTATTTTCATATATTGTTTTGATCTCATAAACAAAGAGACCGGTATGTATAATATAGATGAAACGCATAGAGAAAAATACAAACTCTAGAGTTTTTCTCTATTACTAACAAGTAAAAAAAATTGCTCAATTAATGAGCATTAAAAAAAAAGTTATTTGTTTGTAGTGAATGAGAAAAGTGAGAACGAATACATACAAATACAGCATTTGCACCTAAGAATTTTCAGGAATCCAGTACACTAGGCTCTTTTATTAGAATTTCTAGCCAAATAAAAAAGTACATCCCGCTCCATAGGGTACTCCGAAAATTAAACAATGACCACACAAACTTAGGATCCGTCATCATGCATGGTGGCCCCACATACAAGTGTAACCTCATAGATTCTGTGGATTTCATCAAAACTTAATTGTCTTGTCATGCCTATGCATGAATCAATAGCATGGAACATATTAAATCATTAGTCTAACTTTCATTAAAAAATTTAGTTAGGATTAGTAGCCGTTAGTGATCCCTTTTTCATAGTTTAAGCCCAACCTAGATCTAACTAGCAAAAATTTAACACCCATTTGAATAAACAAATGTTATGTCAAATCCAATAAAATAACACGCAAAAGAAACCGATGCTAATTCATCATGACAAGGATCCACTCTACGACAATAAAATTGCTACACGACAATTTATTTTTATATATCACTCTAAAACAATCCTATTTTGGGGCGAATGAGAGTGTAAAGAAAATAAAAATAGACAAAAAAAAAGAGTAAAATTGTATATGAATTAGTGAATGAAGGGCATGTGGGGTGCCATAGTTAAATTAAATGCGTGGCGTGTTGTGAGATGGCCACGTGGAAGCTCCCTCGGATGCTTTCATAGTCTTGTGCACTAACAGATAGATAGATCTGTGTTTTTTTTTTTTTTTTTTTTTTTTTTTTTTTTTTTTTTTTTTTTTTTTTTTTTTTTTCTTTTCTTATGTACTATTATTTCATTAACATTTAAATTATAAATTTGAAGCGTTATATTAGAAAATATGATAATTTGTATTTTGTTAAAAATTGTGATGAAGCATTGAGCGAAGTAGAGGAGGAAGAGGGATACGTTGAGCGTACGTAGAAATATACGGAGAGTGAAAAGCATGCGTATATCTCTCTAAACCTCACTTATTCTTACAACGAAGTGGTTTCCGCAAAGAAGAAGTTGTAGTTGGCATTTCGCAATGCGCAACACTCGCCGCAGCCGATGAAGATCTCCGCCGACTCCACGCGTCCGCCGCGCCCATTGCCGCCTCCCAAAACCCTACCTCCCTCGCCGGACTCTGATCTCCAGCTGCACCGCCGCCGCCGCCACCCCCGAACTCCGGCCAGCCGATGGAGGCGGACTGCCGGAAAGCGCAGCAGGCCTGAGACTCCCCTGTCCAAGTGGAAGATCCACGACGGCAGAGAGAGGACCGCCGCCGGAGGCCACGGCGATCCGCTCGAGGAGCTCGCCCGGGAGAATGAGGCGACGCTGCCGCCTCAAGCCGTGTCGGCGAGGAAGCTCGCCGCCGCGCTGTGGCGGATGCAGCTTCCGGAAGCGGTGGAGTGTGACGGCGCAAGGCGGAGGGGTTCGAGAAAGATTGGTGGAGATCGTTTGGGATTGGGAGTTCAGGTAAAACCCTATTTGGTTCATTGCTTTGTTCAGAGATCGTTTAGTTTTTTTTTTTTTTTTTTTTTTTTTTTTTTTTTTTAAATAATATCATATAATTAAAAAAAAGTATTTGTTATTCAAAAAATAGTGCATTTCACTGGAACGGCATTCAAATTAAAACTTCTAAAAGGTTCTATTCTTCCTCGTCATAGCCACAATCTTCCTTTTCATCTATTAGACAATTAAGATCTGTAGGGTGTTCTTGGTCTGAATTGTCTTTAGCCGATTTACAAAGGGCTTCTGACTTGTTCAATCATCAACTTGTCCAATTGGTCATTGTAGCGTCGTAGCATCTCCTTCTTCTTCTTCTTCATAGTTCAAACAGAGAGGTTGCGCACCAGGTGTTTGATCAAATGACACTTTGAACAAAGTCTTTCTGTCTTATCGGTTTTGGTGTTGGAATCTTTTGCAGTGTTTCCTCATATTTGTTTCCTCAAGCTCTGGACATGCAGGATGCCATTCTAGGATGTAAGGGAGAGGCTGCGCACCATATGTTTGATCAAATGTCTTACTAAACAAGGCTTTTCTGTCTTAATCGGAGTGGTTATGGTTGCGTGATTCAGATTGCAAAACGGGAAAATGATCACGAAAAGGTCTCTAAGGGGAATGGAGGGAGCTCACGAAAATTTTGGAGGACACTTAAGAAAGATTCTGAATAATTCTACATCGTTTTTCTTCACCAATGTGGCAGATAATCAAGAGATCTCGGTGCTGTGGAAAATTTTCCAAAAATGGGGAAAGGTAGTAGATGTGTTTATTCCCAAAAAACGGGATAATCATGGACGAAGGTTTGGGTTTGTACGATTCTCTGGTGTCTACGATGTGAAAGGTTTGGAGAGGAGTCTTAATTCTATTGTCATTGGAGCACGGAGGCTAAAGGTCAACCTCACTCGTCATTCTCGAAATGTGAGGAGTAACAGTCATGTTGGTACGCGGATGCAAGTTAGTAGACAATGTGCCTCTGGCAGGGAAATGCGTAGCCATAGTGACTCATATGCGGACAAATTAAAAGGACAAACCAGGTTCAACGCTAGGGATTCAAAGGGAAATACGGTGGTATCCGCTAAGAGGGGTACTGAATGGGTGAGGAAAAAGGAGCCTTGGGCTCATCTTCATTTCTCGGTGGATGATAAGGTAATAGAGGATTGTCAGCGATCTTTGGTGGGTCGGCGCCATCGTCATATCCAGTTAGATACGATACGTCAAGAGCTATTACAAGAGGGTCTCCTGGATATTAAGGTGACAACGATGGGTGATGATATGGTTTTAGTAGAATCGGATGCTTGTGTTAATCTTAAGGATACAGTGTCACTATATAAACAACTTTGGGAGAGGTGGTTTTATGAGATAATTGAATGGCATCCGAGGATGGTCTGTGTACGACGTCAAACATGGGTACGTTGTTATGGCATTCCCCTTCATGCATGGTCAGAGAAATTTTTCATTAAAATGGTATCTTCAATGGGGGATTTCATCCAAGTAGACGATGATACACGACAGAGAAGGCGTCTTGATTATGCCCGAATTCAAATGAGTACGACGTATAAGGCATTGATCAATGAGGAAACACGGGTATTGGTGAATGATTTAGGTTTCTCAGTGCGCTTGGTGGAGGAACATGGAGGACAATTTCTGACAACAGAATGGTCCAGTGATGATAGCAACTCTGAGGATGCTTCCGTCGATCAGTCACTTAATTTGGAGGATGTGGAAAATTATTCCTCTGAGGATGATAGAGGAATAGAGGAACAACCACCAGAGATGATGGACAAAGCAAGTAGCAGCGGTGAGGTCTCATTGGGAATTGCCAATGATGATTATGGTCAGAATGGCATTGAGGGGGTTACGAAAAGGGTGGAACACATAGTGGAAGGGGTCAACGAAACTGCTATGGAAGATGGTAAAAGTACTGAGTCGGCCATGGAAGGTAATAACGTAATTGTAGGGGTTAGTAACAAAGGCACTAAGAATAATCATTGTGGGGCAGTGGGGAATAAGAAGAATCATATGGTGAGCCCGATGAGGGAGGTATGCGTTGACCAACATGTCGCAGTAGTTGATAATGGTTTGATTACCAATATGAGCAGGGTGATTCGTGAAAAAGAAGATGTGTCTAGTAGAGGGGGTGTTGTGGAGTGTCATGAGCCAACTATAAGAAATAATGTGAGAAACGCACTAAACAGAGCCAGAAAGAAAATGCAGATCCAAGGAGCACCTCAAGATTCATCATCATTGCCAAAAAGTTCTTTGGCTCCAGAGACTAGTGTAGGTGGGGGAAACTCTAAGGTGGTCCATTCAAATGATATTAATGGGGCCAATTCAGCTGCTAATGCAGAACGATGTTGTGATGAAGCCATGGCAAATCGTATTCTATCTATTTGCAAGAGTATTGGAATGGAGGTGCGTGGAAATGAAGATGAAGTGCGACAGAAGATTATATCCATGGAGCAGAGGGATCGTATGGCATCGGTTGATATAAGGGGAGCCTCATATATGCAATGAAAGTTGGTACATTCAATTGTCGGGGATTAGGGGGTAAAGTGAAAAGTCATCGCATATCAGAGCTTATTCGATCTGAGGAGCTAGATTTTATTGCTATACAGGAGACTAAATTGGAGATGTGTGATACTGCTCGTTGTGCTCAATTATGGGGATCTACAAAGTTTGAGTGGTTTGCTTCCCCTTCTCACGGTAGGAGTGGAGGTCTACTTTCAATTTGGAACTCTGATAGAGGTAAATTATTATTTTCGTTTTCTGGTTCTGGTTTTCATGGTGTTTGCTTGGAATGGGGTGTGGATGCGTATAGGTGTGTAGTGGTCAATGTATACTCTTCTTGTCACCTTGTGGATAAGCGGCGGTTATGGGGAGATATAATAATGTCTAAGAGAGGTTTTGGGAGTTGTTTATGGTGTATAGTGGGGGATTTCAATACGGTGAGAAGACTAGAAGAGAGAAAAGGGGGGTTTGGTGACCATGGTGCACGGGATATGGAGGAATTCAATTCATTTATAACTGAGATGGAGTTGATTGATGTACCACTGGTTGGCAAGCGATTTACTTGGTTTAGGAGTGTATCTCTTGTAACGGGTTGGAGTACCCCTTGTACTCCTTTTAATATTAATCTCTTTTGCTTATCAAAAAAAAAAAAGAGAAAAGGAAAAAGTATATATAAGATAAGAACCGAGTAAAACATCATTCGGATGTCTCTTGTTGCTCGTATTTGCTTGCTGATTCTGATTGAAGTTTTTGAGTTTGATGAAATGTTTTCCGTTAGTTACGGAAATAGCAAGTTGTTTTGCTTGGTCAGTTTTAATTATTTTCTATAATTAAAATTTTGGGAAATAGGAAACGAAGTGGGATCAATGTGGAGTTGTTTTTAAAATTAAAAGCGAAAATGGGAAACGCTTTCTCAGTTTGATGTTTGATGCTTATTTTGTTGTTGCTTAGTTTTGAAGGTTTAGGTTTGACCTTTTGTGATTCCATCTTTTTCATGATTCTGCATGTTCCATCGTGTGTGATGAGGGTCTTTTATTAGGCTTTCTGTTGAAATGATGTACTCTCTCTCTCTCTCTCTATATGGTAGTGTGTTACACTTTTATTGGTTGTTGATTTTTTGTGTTAAATGTTTGAAGTTCATTAAGTGTAACCGGTGATGAATAAATGTTTGATAACTAACGAGTGACCGTATGGGGGAATGAAAAGATTAGTACTGGAGTAATTCACGACCTTAAATGAAAGGGGGAAAAGTAATCATTTCAAGCCTAATAAAGTGTTGTGTAGTTGACTCATGATTCATTTTTGGTTTACTGCAGAACTTGTTATTGTCTAATGCTACCTCCTTTTCTTTTTATTTGTCTTTTAGGGTTTATACGCCTAAACCAAGGAATATAATAAATTTTATTGATTTTAATAAAATAGTTATGAAGTTTCTAATTTTGTCCTTTGTGTTTCAACGCTATAATAAATGTAGTATTAATTTTTTCATTTCCACTTTCTTAATAAATGTGAGAAGTAAAGATATAATTGGTAAAAGAGTAATTAATGTTTTCTTGGCTAGTTGGAGAAATGACTTGACCAGGGCTTTTGGGCGGAGATAATGGAATTGAGAAATAATATTTGTTCAACAATATATACACCACCATTTGTTGTTTATCCCTCTCCATCACATCATTTATTACATTTATTAATGATGGAGAGATAAACACAAAAAAATGTTGTATGAATTGTTTTATGTGTATCATTATTACTAAATTGAATTTTTGTTATAAATGTTTTTCAGTACCTGTATGTAAACGTTTGCATTTTGAACTGTTATGCTTTTAATGCTTGTTCCTAAGTAAGCCCTGCAATATGCTGATTTGTATTTTTCATTTATTTACTAGAAGTTTGTGGGTGCCTGCATTATTAGGTAATTGTTTTTTGTCATTGCATGCCACATTCATGTAATTATTGTCATTATTTTCAGCATTTGGCGGTTTGTTGTCATAATTTTTTTAGTTTTCACCTTTAGTTTAGAACTGATATCACTTGTCTACAGCATGGAATTGGCCATGTAGACCACCAATTTCTCAGCCATCAAAGTGGCATGATGCATGGTTCTGCTACGAAGAATTCATCACAAAGTCCTCATTCTATTTCTGGGATTAAGAATGGACACTTTTGTGAGGTATTATGTTTTTTATTTATTACTTATTACTTATAAATTTAATAATGGCTCTGAATATTGAAGAGTATAGAGTGATCCATATACATAACAGCATTGCTATATGGTATGAAGACTATTCGTAAGAAAACACATGAATCCTACATGTTCATTTTTTTTGGACAAGCATGTAATTTAGGAGATAAGTAATATTAAAAAAATTGATGGAAATCATCCCAGATTCTTTGTGCTTCCTATACATAAAGAATAAAGACTGAAATACTATTATTTCCTTTCCTGCATTCACTTCTGCCTTTTTGTTTTGGGGTGAAAATATGAGGCCGAGGCCCAAGACAGTAGAGAAACTACATGGAATCTAATCTATGGACATGGTTCCCATTACAATCATGTGCCAGAAGACTAGAAGTAGTAGTAAGAAACCTAAGCTAATCATTGCAGATTTTGATCTTTCTGCCTGAATCTGCAGACTGACTTGCTTCTCTGTAGTTATGCATGATATCAACTAGCCAATCCCTCTTCAACAGACTAGTTAGAACCCTAGACTAATTATTGCAATTTTTGATCCTTCTGCCTGAATCTGCCATGGCCCATGAGCAAGAACAGTGTGCAGACTTGCTTGCTTCTCTGTAGTTATGCATGATATCAACTAGTCACTCTGTCTTAGAAAGACAAGTAAGAACCCTAGGCTAATCATTGCAGATTTTGATCCTTCTGCTTGAATATGACATGAGCAAGAACACTAGACAATCTGCAGTCTTGGTTACTTCTCTATTGTTATGCATGATAACTAGCCAATCCCTCTTCAAAAAACAAATAAGAGTTTGTTTGAAATTTTGAATAAACTTCTCTAATAGTACTACTGGAAGAAAAGAAAAATAAGAAGCAAAAATGAAATAAACTTCTCTATAAATTAAAAGTAGTAGTTTATGCATAAGCGAATTTTTAATTTTTTTGGAGAATCTATATGAGAGAGTTTTTACAAATTAACTTAAACATAAGCTACTTTTAGCTTATGGAGAAGCTTAGTTCATTTTTCCTTCCTATTTTTTTTTTCCTTCTGGGAAGTGCTTATGGAGGAGTTTATCGAATTAGACTGTAAGAACTCCAGGCTAATCATTGCAGATTTTGATCAATCTGCCAGAATATGCCTTGAGTAAAAACACTAGACAGTCTGCAGACTTTCTTGCTTCTCTATAGTTATGCATGATATCAACTAGTCAATCCCTCTTCGAAAGCTCCTTAAGTCTATATGATCTCGGAAGCAGAAGTTTCTTGTACCATACCCTTGATCATATGAACAAAGCAAATGGAAAATTGTATCAAATAAAAAAAATGGCAAATGCCTGCTTTAATCATAAGTCTATGCATTGTTCTAAAGGCTGGTATTTTTTCAAGTTAGGAATAATATGTCTATCACTCAGGTACACACACTCACATGCTCATGTATGCTGACATGACAGCCACCCATTTGAATTTATAAACACGTAAACAGATATGATATAGAAGATGGATCTATTGGATTGTATGCATTTATACATGAAATTGAGTGTTGCTTAGATCCATGCTATGTATAGATGTAATTTTCTGTGTAAAAATTCACAGGCTAAACAGTTTCACATTGTTGGGCAAACCAAAGTAGTGAAAGTGTCATTTAAATATCAGTCATATCGAAGGAAGCTACTCTGGTAGAGACGTAGAGTAAAAAGTTTAAGAAGTGGCTAACTTTTACTTTCCCAAAGTGAAAGCGTAAACTATTAAAGTGCTAACCTCTTCTGTTACTATTTTTTTCTTCAGCTCAAGCCTTCTTTACAGTTTACCAGTACAGCAATGGAGGGGGCAACAAAGTGGGATCCTGTTTGTTTAAAAATATCAGATGACGAGCAGCATATCTACAGCCAAATGAAACTACTGGACCAAAAGGTTAGCACCGTTTCTGCTGTATCTGCTCTTGAAGCTGAACTAGAGCAGGCTCGTGTACTGATTCAGGAGCTTGAGACTGAACGCCACTCCTCCAAAAAGAAACTCGAACATTTTTTAAAGAAAGTTGGTGAAGAAAGGGCCTCATGGCGAAGCAAAGAGCATGAGAAAATCCGCGCTTATGTTGATGACATTAAATCAGAGTTGAGTCGAGAAAGGAAAAGTCGCCAGAGGATTGAAATTGTCAATTCCAGGTTGGTTAATGAGTTGGCAGATGCTAAGTTATTAGCAAAAAGGTACATGCAGGATTACGAGAAGGAAAGGAAGGCTAGAGAATTGATTGAGGAAATTTGTGATGAGCTTGCTAAGGAAATTGGAGAAGACAAGGCTGAAATTGAAGCTATGAAGAGGGAATCTATGAAACTTAGGGAAGAAGTGGAAGAAGAGAGAAAGATGTTACAGATGGCTGAAGTATGGCGTGAAGAACGTGTTCATATGAAATTGATTGATGCAAAAGTTGCTCTTGATGAGAAGTACTCACAGATGAATAAACTAGTAGCAGATTTGGAAACCTTTCTCAAATCAACAAATGTGAACCCAAATGCTAAGGAGATGAAAGAGGCACGGTCACTTCAACAGGTTGCAGCTGCTGTAGACATTAAGGACATCAAGGGATTTTCATATGAGCCACCTAATCCAGATGATATTTTTTCCATTTTTGAAGATGTAAATTTTGGGGAACCTGACGAGAGGGAGATTGAACCATGTGTTACTTACTCTCCAGTGAGTCATGCCTCAAAGATTCACACAGTGAGTCCTGAAGCCAACTTGATTAGTAAGGATAACTTTCAAAGATGTTCTGATGTATTTATGGATGACAATGGTGATATAGAAGATGAAAGTGGATGGGAAACTGTGAGCCATGTTGAGGATCAAGGATCAAGTTGTTCACCCGAAGGGAGTGCCCTATCAGTGGCAAGGAATCATCGAGAAAGTGATGTCTCAGGGAGGAGTGTGCTTGAATGGGAAGATAGTGCATGTGGAGAGACTCCAATAACAGAAATCAGTGAAGTCTGTTCAGTCCCAACTAAGCAATCCAAGAAGGTATCCTCCATAGCAAGGCTTTGGAGGTCTGGCCCAAACAGTGGGGATAATTACAAGATAATCTCTGTGGAGGGAATGAATGGTAGGCTTTCAAATGGAAGGGTATCTAATGGGGGCATAATGTCTCCTGACTGGGGACTTGGTAAAGGTGGACTAAGCCCCCAAGACCTTCTATGCCAGTTGAGTTCTCCAGAGTCAGCAAATCTGCATAATCGAGGAATGAAAGGATGCATTCCTCGCACCGTGCAGAAGAGTAGTTTGAAAGCCAGACTTTTGGAGGCTAGGATGGAAAGCCAGAAGGTTCAGTTGCGCCATGTTCTTAAACAGAAGATTTAGATATGAGCACACAGACAGAGATTCCTTACCTGTATAACTGAAGATTCGCCCACAAGCTGCAGTTTTGTTTTGAATTGTGAAAGTACAAATCTACTGCTTCAAGAAAAACTGCTCAGAAATGATGGGGGGGGTCATGAATAAATGCACTTTTCCTGCCTCGGACTTTGGTGGCCATGTTTCAGTTGTTGAACATCACTCATATTTAAAGCATTGAGCAGATAATCTTTCATCCCCTTGTGCCATGCCTTATATCCTTCTATCATGACCAGCCTTGCTTCATTTTGTTTAGTTGCCCTATAAAAGTTCAGAGAAGCATGTTGCTTGTATTTGTAATTTAAGTCTGAGGACAAATATGTAGGGAAACCAAATCATCATAAGGTATAGATGAAGCATTATCTTTTTAGCAATTTAATTTTTCTATCTTCGTAGATGTGACTTAGAATTTGTCATATAGATTGTAGATCACGAAGGCGATTTCTGGTCCCAGGACTGAATTTTTAACAGCGATAATAAAACTTGATACCTGAAGGCTAGGATGGACCACTTGCTCTGTCTGTGACTGTTTCTTTGGAAAAATGAGTACTGTTTAACTATTTACTGAAGAATAATAATAATGAGATTAACTTATTTCCCCCCTTTCGGTTGCTGAGGAATTATTGATGTAAAGTGGGAGTTAATGAAAACGCGTGGAGAATAATTGTCCTAACCGGATTGCTATTCTAGATTGCAGATACAAAGGTATAAAATCAAATTGAGTTTGCGAGCAACTTCATTTACAAGTAAATGATGAGAAAATCAACCATATGTTATGTGTGATAAACAATAGTTTTTTTTTTGTAATAATTTTTTATTACAATTGAGAATGTGTATTTTATTTTCTCTTATTTTGAAAAATAAAAGTTAAACGGAAATAGAGAATTAATTTTCGACCGAGGAAATGATAAATTCCCTTGAAATATAAGTCCAATGCAAATGACTGTTAGGAGCATATTCTTTCTAAAAGAAAATTAATTAGTTAAAATTTATCAAATCAGAATAAAGAACAGTAAAGATGTGAAACACATAAAGTAATTTTTTAATAAAGTTCAACAAATAAAAACATGTGTTAAAGAAAGTATAGTCCAAGAACAAAAAGCATTACATTTGATGCAAATGAAAGTTAAGTTCATTACATAAAAACGGAAAGGAGGGTAAAAAATTATAGGTTTACATATGGTGGCCAGAACAACGATGCTTTCAATTTTTCAAGATTTCTGCTCGCTTTTCATGGAAATGATTGTTAGGGTACAGTACTGTACTTTCATTTCAGACGTACCCTAAAATTAAAGGAAGGAAAAAAATATTATTAAATATCAAAGGACTTGTTTGTAAGAATGTTTTTAATTTGTAAGCAACAAAAGTGAGTTTTAGTCCAGCCTGTTAGCAATAATCTTTTAGATGAATCTTTGCCGATGGTCTCAACATGTTAATAGTAATATTAGACGTGCCTTTCTATTCTACCATGTTTATTAAAAAAACACTACAATTATTGAATGAGTGCTACTTATAAAACCTAATGAAATAATGAGTAGTATGGTTATCATTAGTTTGTTTGGTTTAGGATTGATTCTACCATTTTTTTAATCCAGTTTATTAAATCAGTGGTTTTATGTTGTAATTAAATCAATGTACACGAAAATTCTTCGAATCAATGATATTCATGGTACTGTGAGCTGAAATTAGTCTCTTTTTTTTTTTTAGGTTCGTTCCTGGAGTATCCACCGCCGACAGCAGTGACTAATCTCCTCGCTACGTTGGAGGCACCTCAAAGGGTGGGATAGCTGGCCCCAAGATTTAACGCGGCTGCATACACAAGGCAGGATTCGAACCCCTGACCTTGCTTAAGCGTGGATCAACCCCTACCGCTGAACCACACGCTTGGGGTTGAAATTAGTCTCTAATATAATGAGTTTGAGATGTTTATGAAAAATAAAATAAAAAATACAATAGTTAGACTGGTTACTAGTTCAGTTTTAATTTTAATAACCATAATTTTTAGTTAGCTCCACAATTTAAACATTACAATTAAAAGCTATAGCAACTTTTTATTCTGAACTTACTTAAAATGAATGTCGTGTATTTCCACCATTTTATGGAGTTGCTCTCAGTAATTGATGGATAGTTATACTTTACGTGAAAAAAAATATATTATAATTTGAATAAGTATTACAATGTAAAAGATGTTTTAATGTCATCTAACAACAATATATATATATATATATATATATAT